CAGCAGGGAGATAGATTTGATGTCAGAGAAAGCAAATGCTCATACAGCCTTGCGAAGATACATGGGAGACACGTGAAAGGAACACAAAGAGACAGAATATGAAGGAAGGCGATTAGAAGTAGCACAACACGGAAGATAATCTGTGTAAATGGTGCGTGCGTTGAAGATAAGGTGTACATAAATTTGGCTATATGCAGTGATACCAAATTCCGTAATAAATATTCCTTTCCCAAGTCTCTCGTCTTCTTCGGTTACACGTCTACCGTATAATAAAACTGCAATTTACACATATCTTCGATATTGTGCTCATTTCGTCGTCTGTATTGTGCTTCCTTCCAAATTTCCCCATGTTGTCTCACAGACATTGTTCAGTTCTTCTCTTCACCATTAAATCCGTCGATCTCTCTGCTATTCTATGCAATATCCTAGTAGACGATATATATGTTTGTGTCTATACCTACAGACTACTTATAAATTCTTGATAGTAGCACACTCCACTTATAGGTAAAAAGAGATTAACTGTTGCAATATACGGAATGCTAGAAATTCCATTCTGTATAGTTAATACTGTATGGAATACCAATCTGATGCTCACTAGTGACTGGCCCTATTCAGGTAGGTAGTTATCTGGGGTTCTATTGGGAATTCGTGACCAGTGGGGGGTATATCAGGTCTGGTGTGAGGACAAATACTCGCCAGCGATGACATTCGCCAGTGCCAGTCGCGCTATGTTGTGACTTGGCAGAGGTTGGAATTCATGGACTGATCGTTGGATCGGGTTCTGGTGGCTTAATGGTTTACGAGCTCGTCTTATGATCAGAAGCTCCTGCAGTCGAACCCCGGTGGGTGCGTACTGTCTCAAACTAGGATGAAGCAGCTGGCTCTTCAGTACTCCACCATTGGTTTTCCAATGGTCGTCTAGTGGATGTCAGCTCATGGTGAAATCCTTTAACTAATCAATCAAATCCCTACAAACCAATACTTGGAAATTATTATCATTATGAATGGCTAAGAAGCCGAAGAAATGCGTATCTTATCCTGTAGACGTAATCTCTCAACAATAATCTCTACTGAATAAACCATCTACTTTTATGCTCAACATAACATCTAAGTACATACATATATCTTCCTGAAGTTAACTCCAAATGTACTAACAAACTTTCTAAAAATGTATCGAAAATTTTAATGCATAGAAAGAAGTCAGTAGCGAGCATTTACTAGGTATGCTGAGGTTGCTCAGAATAGCCTACCTCTGAAAGAGAAGAGAGAGAGCTTAAAATTACAATTGCCAGTCATCTGATCGACTCTAAATATATAGTTAAAGTCAGTCAGTCATACCTAGCCATCGCCTTCCTCGACAATGGTCAAACCAAAATATGGCTTCATCAGTCACTGAAATCCACAACAGTTAGTTTAAGCCAGCCATGTAGGGAGGTGTAGACTTCCTGACTGATTGGTTGGAGTTCTCGGGATGACAAGGACCAAACCAATGAAGGCTGGAGACAATTGATGATATGGCTTAAAATCCTCGTTGTCAATGGCTGGTACAGATGCATCCACTATCCAATAAAACTCTATTGTTCTTCCATATCACTATTCTTTTTGCTTCATATTTCTGTTTATTATCTTTCTCTTTTGATGAATCCTTCTATACTCTCTTCTCTTGCTTGTGTGGTACATAAAGGGAGAGTGGTACGTTGAACTGCTGCATATCTGTTCGAAGTACTACGTTGAAACCAGTCAGTCAGTCAGTTCTGCGTTCGAATCCACGGGAAATACAGGTACATCCAGACGGCGAGTCTTAAATAGGATGAAACACACACATTCTAGATTGAACTGCTAGCCATCAGATAGGTGATATCAGTTGACATGTTGGGCGATAATCGAAAAAAATCAATTAACTTCTTGGTGCTTTGTAAACATGAAGCATGGCTTGTCAGTATGATGAATAGTAGAAATCTGGCACTCACGGCCGGAGTATAATTCTAAACGAAGTGTTATTACGTAATAGTGAAATCACCCCATACCACTGACGTGTCGGTCACAACATAAATACTTCCAGTAAGCATATAATATTCATGCAAATGTTTCATTGACAGTAACTAGATGTTTATGCGTCGGTGGTATAGCGGTTAGGACACTCGCCGACCATGCACATGGTCCGGGGTTCGATCCCCGGCCGACGCACTCCTTTACCTCGCTAAGCTAGAAATAATGCTGGTGAAGAGGAAAGGTTGGGCATGAGGCTAGCAACCCCATCCTGTAAAATAAACACTGCTACAGAAACTTCAAGCCACTAGCTTGAAGGCGCCCTATGTTCCACTGGGGAACGTGAAGGAAAAAAACCCAGATGTTTGTATTCTATGTAAATATGTATATGAAAAGACGCTCAATATTGGGGTGGCGACTACTCGTTTGTAAGAACTGCGGCTGAGATACAAAATGTGTGCACAATATACGTTTTAGAAGAGAATCTGTGGTGAGAGCTGTCTCCTAGCCAAAATTGGTAGACAGCAATTTACGTCAATGTTTACGTCCCAAATCTTGGTCATGAGAAAAACACAAGAACAAAGCCTAACCTTGAGGAACCCAACAACCAATCACAGCAGACTTTGCGTGGGTGGATACGACTCGCGGATACATGGTCTAACCTTCAAAGAAATGGCCACAAAGAGATGACAGAATAACCTTCAGCGAGAAAATAACCAATCAGAAGACGTCACCTCTCCGCTAACAATAACGAATAATAATGCACAGACAAATCTATAAATATCTGTTGATTTCCTCAATAAACGACCTGTTGCCTGGCTCTTGTCTTCTGTCGTTACAAATCTAAAGAGAAAAGGACTTTATCGCCATGAGATCTCCTCTGAGTCCTCTTCTTGAATACTGTTTTATGGCTAGTTTAGAAAATGGTCGATTGAAGTCAACAATCCAAGGTTTTCAAATGTATAAAGGCATGTAGATGACAACATCTTTATTATTTGCGACGCTTATTATTATTTGATATAATATATATTAAGAGCATTGAATAGTTGCCATCCAGCGATAGAATTCACACTTGAAGTGGAGAACGAGTCTAATATTCTTCCTGTTGATGTGAAGCTATCAAGGAAGAGTGATGGATGGAACATTGAGGAGATCGATTTATAGAAAGTTGTCATGAAATGATTAGTTGATAAATTTCTACAGCTGATCACTTATTGTCAGAGAATTAAAACGAATTTATTCACTTGTCACTCTGATTTTGTGCGCACGGACTCCTTATGCTGTGGAGGAGAAGGAAGAGTTAAGTCTTCTAAGACAGATCCTAACTGAAAATGGCCACATTTTAGAGACAAAAATATTCAGACAAAACTTATTAAGTGTGATTTATAGTTTTTGTCCAAGAAAATTTTCCTTATGAATCATAAATTCAAAAGTTATCTGGCTGCCGACAAACCTAAATTAAGGATCTTACAGTCTGTGGAAAAGACATGCACCGCAGAATCGTTGAGCATAGTGTTCTTTGGTTGATCAATACTTTTTAATAACCTAGGAGATGAGATCCCTCAGATAACCAACACTGTGTGTTTAACAGTTCACCTTCTCCAGCGGAGCTGAGTATATCGATCATCCGACAAGGAGTGTTTGTACCGAAAAGATGTAAGAACATTACCTCGTGTGGCTGTGAATAGGTGACTAGGATATATGATTGACAACGATCATATTATCTTAGCCTTTTTCCTTCAGAAAGTTATCTATAGAGTGACAAACCAGATCTTCTTAATTCGTGAAATATTCGGCTCTTCTGTATTACTGAAGCTTTATTCATCAAAATAACACAAAGCCAGAGCTCTGTATTCAGTGTGAAAGCTTACTCAATCACTCCGTTGACTCACCGTATTACTCTGTTTACGTTAAACTGCTAAACTCCATATTTTCTGCCGTGGAATTATAAAAATACTTTCAGATGTCGGTTTACAGTGACCTGACTGATTTTAATTTTGACAACGAAGTGACATATCACTTAGAGGACCATTGAAAACTGTTTCGTTCTAGTTTGGGGCCATTCAGCAATATGCACAAATGACCCAGCTACGTACTTCTGAAAAGTCTCGGAAAGGGACGAAACAACCCATTTCCAATACTTCTCTAACTGATGTATCAGTTCATGATCAATGTTCTTCGTGACTTGGAGGAGGTCATGTGAAGAGGAGGTGAAAGCATGTGGGCAGACTTGGAGCCAGGTGAAAACTCTAGCAGAGAACCGAACGCAACGGAGACGCGCGGCTGAAGCCCTATGTTCCTCTAGGAATTAAAGAAAATAATAATAATAATGATCAATGTTCGAATTATAAGAAAAGTAATAACTATAACTGCAATATTATGACTAAAGGGTATTTAAAAATATCCTGTTCTGATTCTCATTCATTGTAGACATTGCCAAGTGGTCGCGCTATTTCGTGAATTGTCTGGCAGAAGTTGGAATTCATGAGCTGGCCATTGGATGGAGCGGATCCCAATGGCTTAATATTCTACGAGCTAGCTTGCCTTGTAACCAAAAGCGCCTGGGTCTGAACCATGGAGGTAGGTGCGTACGGATAAAGAGTCCCAAACTAGGCGGACGAAACAACTGACTGTCCAGTACTTCCCGGCAGGCTTTCCATTGGTTCTTTAACCAAGGTCAGCTCATGATAAAGTCCTTCAACCATTGCATAATTATCAATGACATGACAACTCGACTCAATAGTTCATTGGATATATGTCTGATAATCGATCAATCTAGCGATCGAATCAAATAAGAGTGAGCACCCACCCAACCAACCAACCAATCATCTTTCTTTCATTTCTTTTTTTTTCAACTGTTCTTATCTTCTTATATTCAAAGTCGAATTGAATCTTGTTTCAGTTATCTACTTGTACATTCATATATACTGCCTATTGTACTATGATGATTAATATGATTGACAACTAATCAGATACTGCGTAATGCATCATTAGTTCCACTACAAATAATAATGTTCTCTTGTCAATATTTAATCAATATACCAATTACTTTAATTCTATTACTGACAATTAATCAACCGACAATAATTCTATCTACAGGACAATTAGAATATCGTATACAAAATGGTTTTCCAGTGAAAATAGGTGAATTTCCAATGATTGTATTATTGTTGGGTAGAAAGCATCGATGTACAGGAACAATTATATCAAAGGATAAAATATTGACAGCTGGACATTGCGCATGCGGTGATCCAACTTATAAAGTGGGTAGGCAAGAAAAAAAAGCACAGTTATTTCTCTTTTATGATTAATCACTTTAATTTGTTATTATTACATTATATATATGTCCAAACCAAGTTCACTTTTAACAGTTTCAAAAAATAAAGGGCATTGGGTATATGATTTGTTCAATATAATAAAGGTTCTATTTTGTATTACCTAATGAATGAATGAAAAACAAAATGATATTGCTGTTTTTACTGACGTTTTGCTATTCAAAACGCTGCTAATTGCTTTATCAAAGTAGTAATATTAAACCAGAATTTACAAAGTCCATTCAGCTTATTTATACAACAACTTAATCATCGTTTCTCAGTATGGGGTTAATTTTGCGTTGTTCTCTAGTTGGCCAATTGGTAAAGATAATAAAACCAGATGTAGATTGTTGGATTTGATAAGTGTGTAAAATTATACAGAAGCAGTGTGTGTTTACATAGTGAAATTTGCTTATCACATTCGTGTTGATTCTGTCATTTCATGGGGGAGGGAGGTGTTGTAACCAGGTTAAATTCTGTTTAAGTTCATCATTCCTATTCAGACAGTTTGGATTCCATTCGATATGAAGTGCTTCTGATGATATAAGACATCCTTTGTGACTTCTGAAATTTTTCTGGATGATGATTTCAATACTGTCAAAATTAATTTTGTGATCTGATTCTATATCATGTAGACCACCTATGGCTGATGTTTTTCAAGCTTTTCTAGTTCACTAAGTTGATTTCTCGGTGGTGAAACAGATGCGGCTCTACGGTGTTCATTTCTCCTGATTTTGATTTCTCGAGATGTTTGTCCGATGTATATCGCATCACATACTAAACCAGCATTTTATTTTATAGACACATTTAGATAGAGAATCTTTAGGGATTTGGTCTTTTTTATGGACAAGGTTGCTTTGTAGTGTGGATCTGATGTTTTGAAGAAAACTCTGATTTAGAGCTTATTGAGCACTCTTCTGATATCGTCTGACGTCTCCGCTGTATATAGAATGACAACTGTTGAGGTCCATGTTTTCGGAGTACGTTTTCGACCATTCTTAATGTCACTGTTGGTTTTGTTAATGAAGTTCTTCAGAATTACTAAACAAATGGTTACAGTGAAGAAAATTTTCTTTTCGACAAAGTCATCAACTAGATAGCTGTACATTCGTGTACTGATAAAAAATGGATGGGAAAGTTCCAGAATAATTTCCGGTTAAGGGTCAAATTAATAAAATTACAATTAAGAATTAAAATGCCATAATAAACAGGGGGACAGATGAGAATATTTTCATATACGAACTTCCTGTTTATTTTGTCATTTTATTATTTCTACATATTTAATCCCTGATTGCAAAAACAATTATTCGTCGCATTAGTTATGATCCCACTAGATTTTTTATCCAAACATCCTGTCTATTTTTGTTATTTCTATATTTCTAACCCCCAATTGCACAATATGTCAATCTTCTCAGTAATTATGATGCTACTTTGTCCCCCTGTTTATTATGGCATTTTAATTCCAAATTGTAATTTTATTAATTTGACCCTTAACCGGAAATTATTCTGGAACTTTCCCATCCATTTTTTATCAATACACGAATGTACAGCAACCTAGTTGATGACTTCGTCGAAAAGAAAATTTTCTTCGCTGTAACCATCCTTTTAATAATTTCTATGATCCAATGTGTATATTCCGTGATTTGAAGAGAAGTTCTTTGGGTAGTTGTTTTGCTTGAGAGTCTCAGTAATGTTTGATATTTCTTCTTCTTTTTCTTTCTCATCCGTTAACATAAAACAGGCAGTTTAGAAATGTTAGTTCACCGACGTCTGATTCTGCTTCCGAAGTAAACTCGATTCTGGGAGATTGATTGTTTAGTTTCTCCAAGAATGAACACTGTGTAGATCTCGTTTTAGCACTACAAAAGTATCATCTACATATCTTAACCATATTTTAGGAGTCAGTATGCTTGAAAAGATGTTATCTTCGAATCTATTCATGAAAAGATTAGCGACTATTGGGGAAACTGGTAAACCCATAGCAACACCATTTCGTCTGTCTATATAAACTCCCTTTAAATGTAAAATAATTACTTTCTAGACAGAATTTCAAGCTCTTAATTATTTGACTGGTGTCCAGTGGACATCTTTGTGATAGCGTTGTATCTGATTCTAGTAGACTGGAAATGATATCAAAACTTTCGGTAATAGGGATACTAGTATATGATGAGTTGAAATCATAGCTTACAATAATTTCTTCTTTATCAATTTCTTGGTGTTCTATTTGGGATTTGAAATCATATGAATTTTTTACAATATTTTGAGTGTCCTTTTGCAGTAGTTGTAGTAACGAAAATAAGTATTTGGAGAGAGGCTGGTGAGTTGGTGAAATCTACTACTGGTCTTAATGGGACTGTGGGTTTATGCATCTTTGGTTGACCGTAGAATCTTGAAGGTACATAAAAATTTCCACTTTTGGGTTTCATTTCTTGAAGGAGTCTGTTTGTATTTAGTTTCATTTTGTTGAATTCGGCAGATTTCTTCTTATCAAATCCAACAATCTACACCTGGTTTTATTATCTTTACCAATTGGCCAACTTGAGAACAATGCAAAACTGACACCATGCTGAGGAACGATGATCAAGTTGTTTCATATAAGCTGAGTGGATTTTGTAAATTCTGGTTTAATATTACCACTTTGATAAAGCAGCTTTTGGAGTAGCAAAACGTCAGTAAAAACAGCCATATCGTTTTGTTTTAAATTCATTCATTGGGAAATACAAGAAAACCTTTATTATAATGAATATCATATACCCAATACCCAAATTTTCTCAAACTATTAAAAGTGAACTTATTTTGGACATATTTAATGTTTTCAGTTGGTAAGATAAATAAATCTTCAGTTATCGATGTTTCCCTCCAGGCTATTACACTAGACTTTAGTAATGTCAGCGTGTCTCATCCTGTTGTATGTAACTAAACCAAATGTTGCAGCTGAGCTTCTTCCTAAATTCGTCATTTTATTTGAAACAACTGGTCTAGATATTCACTAAGCTTTTACGCTGTATAAGTCTAATTCACCCTGATCTACTACTTTGACTCAATGTATTTAACTTCACAATCATTGCACAGTATGATATTATTATTATTTTTATCCCCTTGAGATGCGAATGAAAAAAGGGCGTCATTGAAACATTTTCATTTCACTCTTTTCTCTGAAGTCTTTTTTGTCTGGTTCCACGATACCTCAAAAGTTTTCATTCCCTCCACACACGATCTCTCTCCTCTATGTCAATTTCAGGTGCCCAACTTCCCCTAGTTAGCTAGCCAGTCTGAAGCTGCTAGTGATCTTATCCCAGACAATGAACTTAATCGCCACAGAAACTTCAAGACAAGGGAAAAAATATAAAAAGTGAACTTTCAGGGTAATAGATAAGATATATTCTTTTGTATAAAGGATCCTAAAGGATCCTTTAACCGATATTACGTGTCCATAAGTGAGTTAGTGGGTATGAATTCCATTTTTATCACTGCCATGTTAACAATCCTCTGTAGGCTTTCAGAAGTCCCATGTTCCTTTGGCAGTTTTTTTATTCCTTTAATTTACTAGTGGAACATACGGAGGGCTTCAAGGTAGAGGCTTGAAGTTTCAGTAGCAGTGGTGATTATTTTTACAGGATGGGATTGCTAGCCTCATGCCCAACCTTTCCTCTTCACCGGCTTTATTTCTAGTTTAGCGGGGTAAAGGAGTGAGGTGTCGGAGGGGGATCGAACCCCGGACCATGTTCATGGTCGGCGAGTGTCCTAACCACTGTGCCACCGAGGCACAAACAGGATGTCGCTGCCAGGATACGAACCTGTGTTAGTGCAGTAATTATAAATGATACTTTAAATTTTTTATTTTCCGGAATGTCATCTTTCTGTGTATATTTACTATGTGAAAGTTTATAGTCGATAATGAGTTGATGTTAGTTACACTGTCAAACTATAAACTTAAAACTAAAACCGTAAATAACTAACACCTCTAGATAACAAAAGAAATGGTACAATGATGTGAAAATACTGGTTAACTGGTATTTTTTAACTTCTAAGGAATTGCGTCTCTGGCACAGCGGTTAAGATGCTTGCAGACCATGCACATAGTCCGGGGTTCGATACCCGGCCACGGACGCACTCCTAAACCGAGCTTAGCCAGTAATAAGGCTGGTAAAGAGGAAAGGTTGGACATGAGGCTGGCTAGCAACCCCATCCTGTAAAAATAAACATTGTTACAGAAATTTCAAGCCTCTAGCTTGAAGCCCTCCGTATGTTCCACTGGGAAAGTGAAGGAATAAAAAAAGGGAATTCAACTGACGAATCATAAATAGGATGCAGCACGCTTCCCTGTACTTCTCTGCTAACCACCACCAGTAAATATCGTCTTGAAATAATGAGGAAAATTTATATTTATAACTTCCATTGTCCTCCTTTACAGACAACATCTTCTGTATTTACTTCGGTATGAAATAAGCTTTTTTGGATTCTTCATGAATAATGTAATCATCTCTCTACTGATGATTTCGACCGTGATTGATCGTCTTCAGGTGTTTTCTTTCTTTGTGTTCTTTATGTATCAGTAATGATCACTTACTTGACCTGATACTTGGACTCTTCTCTCATAGATCTGTGGCTCATTGGTTAAGGATCTCGACTTACTGCAGATGAGACACGGGTTTAAATCTCGCTCCCCCTATTTAAGTTTGGAAAGTTAGGTACTTTTCACTAGCTCTCTCATACAATAGTTGTTCTTCATTGTCAACTGTCATGTGAATTGTTCTTCATTGATTGATATCAACACGCATCATCTTCAATAAGGCTTCCTTGCTAATGAGTACGCCTAAGTTCATGCAGTATGCTTCAAACGAGTGTGTTATATATGACATATTATTTCATATGAAAATTGTTCAACAACATATTCTTACTGTACACACACACACACAAATATATTCACCAGTTCCATACTCGTTCAT